TGGCAGCTACCCCGGGGAAAGTGGTTCGGTCCCTTGAGAATCCGGCCTTCAGGTGGTGAAGCTGTATCAGCTGGCGCTGGGCTACATCAAGGGATGGATGTTCATGGCACCTTGGCTGGGCAGGCGATGAACCATCCAAACGCTTGCCGGAGTTTGCGTGCCCTCCAGTCGGTCCGGGACACACTGGGCACCCGATTTCTGCACACATGGCACGGATGTGCTGTTTCGTGCAGAAGGCCAAGTTGATGAAAGTGTCTGATTTTCGGCTTAGCCTGTTATTGTTGTTTTTGTATGGTCTTTGTCCCGTTGGTCCCATGGCACCTTGAAGCACGCGGAAGCTCCGTTCTTGCTTGCTAGCCAGCTCGCTTCCCCTTGACAATTGGATTTGCACTGTAGGTAGGTTCATTGCAGAACTTTAAATTACAAGGCCGCGGAAAAACTCACAATCCATTTTGCTGAATTCCCCAGTAGGAAACCACGAGGGGACATAGGTGTTGTTGCTTGTTTGAGATGCCGGGTCAAACACCAAGAATACAGCAGTGCGCGCGGAGTTGTGCATTCCCCATCTATCAAAGAGCAACTGAGAGGATTGGTTTGCAGGAATGTCCTTAAGCAAACAAATTGACAGAGCTCCGTAATTTAAGGAAACGATAACTTGCCGAAAAATTGAGCGGATTCTTGGTGCAGTCATGTTCCACCGATTGCTGTGCCCTTATCAGCAGCCTGCCTGTCAGGACCCATGCAAAAAACAAAAAAACTTTGTAGGATTTCCCAGCGTGCCACACCAACCGAGGACCTCAGCCTTCTAGGCCGGGGTGATGGGAACGATGATCAGAGCCCCAAGGGTGGGGTCGACTTTGGCCAGGGTATGGGGGGTTGCCTATGTTCAGGCTAGCGTGTTTTTGGGCAAGTGAAGAGGGAAACCATGAGGAAGCCACCCAATGTTGGGTTCTCCGTAGGGCCTTTAATTGGTCCTGAGATGTGCTGGTGTTGTGGCTCCGAGATGGGATTTGGTGCCCTCTTGCCAACAACGAAGTGTGCAGGCCCCTTTTCCCAGAAGCAAAATAGTAAGTGGCTTTCCAAGAGGACGAGGCATTGCCATCATATAGATCACAATCCTCAGTATTTGTTTGTTGGAGGGGGCGTTTGGTGCTATTGTCTGGATTGCGGGATTCCTTGCTTAGGGGGATCCCGATTTCTGAAAATCCTGTCCAAGGACCTCAGTTTGTTCTTAACGCTTTCAACTCGGTATGTGTTCAATTTAGTCCCTGTGTCCCTGTGTGCAAGACAGATTGTTGGTGGTTATGTGTTGAGTGGAGAAGAACGTTTCACCAAAGTGTGCCGGACGCATTGAGGAAGTCAGCGCATTGCAACACTGGGACATTTTTCGGGCTTGCGGCATGTCAGCCCCTTCGCCAGGCCTGGACATCGGCAGCTTGTCACACACCGTTCCGCCGGATTTTTCCGTGGCAACCGCTTCATTTCAGAAACAACTGGTTGCTGTTGGTCCCCTTGGCAACACAAAATTTGGGCCTTCGGGGTGTTTGCACTTGCAGACCTTTATCTCTATCTGCGAGCTGCAGAGCTGCTAGCTTGGGAGTGTGGATGTTGGCATGAAAAGCCCATTGGACAAAGCCAGAAGCTATCTTTCTCACAGCGGCAGATCGGTTTGTCTAGACCTGTGAGGTCCACTCCAAACGTAGCCATAGCGAGTTGGCGAGGTGTTCTTTGAACATCGTCCCTAGAAAGCTTCATGAGTTTGATATCGTGGCATATTTGTTGTATTTGATCATGGGTGTCTCAGAGTTGGCCCGATACTCCTCAGATGCCCAACTGCATGAATACGTAAAGGGAACAAATGCCGCCATGTTACATCTCCAACTCTGCAAGGACATGAATGACAGAAGCGTTTGTCCACGGCATGGCACTGCAACAGAAGCGAAAAACAGCCCAGCTCCCAATTTAATGGACCAGGGGTGTTGTACACGGATCCAGGTCAAATCACCTGTTTCAACTCCAACTTCCAGAGCATGACGAATGCCAGGCTCCCTTTTGGCAGCTCCAGGGACATGACCGGAATCACATCCCAAACCAAACCTGTTTGATCAAAAAGGAATTCCCCTTTGGCCCCTTTGGGTCAAGATGGAACCCAAAGAAGGGTCCCTCCAATGATTAAACCTTTCCTGTTCCCCACCCTCAGGAATACATGGGGGATGTACTCCTAACAAAGGGCTCTCAAAAATAGATTGTCCTTGCGTGGGTGCGAGGGGGATGATGTTTTGAAGGCCGCGCCCTGAGCTTTTTCCAATTAGGCTTGGGCTTGTTGTTTGAGTTCTTGGTCAATTTCAGTGTTCATTTGCCGGTGGCTGGGCCTTGGAAAGGGACGAGGCCCTCATGTTGGCTTCGAAGGGAGCACCAACGCCGCTTCGAAAGTGGGTTCAACAGACAAACAACGCAACCTGATAATTGCGTTGGCCCCATTCATTGTTGCATGTTGGTTGTCACTTGATTGGACCTGGTAGTCATCCTAATGATGGTTTGCAATCATGCTGATTGTTGTTGTTCAAAGTGCTGTCTTCATCGTAGTAACATCTTTCCTACAGGTATCATGCAACCACTGAATGTGCGGGACCCCGGAAAACACCGCGAAACTTTAATGGGCAAATCAGATACGAGCGGCCTTTCACAGCCTTTCAAATTTCCCTTTAAAAGAGCCAACAGGCAAACTAGGAAACCTTGTCGCCTTGTTCGGTTGCGATTGGCATCGGGGCTGCGGCCGAAAGTCATGGGGGCTGGGGGGTAGGGAGGGGGGGGAGGGGGGGGAGGGAGCCCAAATAAGCCATAAATAAGACATCCCTCCTCCCTCCCCCCTAGGCCCCATGAGAAAGGATGCCCCGGCCAAAGAACCAAGTCGCGACCTGAGGCCTCTTCACGGCGGAGGCCTACATCGAGGCCACAGCCACCACAGGCCTCAACTCCGTGCGCCTCATCCGCGTGCTGCGACTCCTGAGGCGCTTGGGGACCCGAAACGAAGCAGGCAGCTCGACGTAGTGTGGCTACCGGTGTGGTTATATGACCCAGCCAGTGGGCGCACTTTGCACTCTTTTCCATTTAATTTAGTGGTGGCCCAAAAGTGTGCACTTTTTTTTGGCTGGTCACTGGCCAAGTGAGTTATCACAGTTGAGTCAAGTCAGTCCGTTGGCCCTTTGAACCCAACAAAAACATCCCAAAACGTAGGCTGGTACGCCAATGTCCGCTGATTTCCACCTATGTTCCGCCGGTGTCCTCGCATTTTCCATGACAGAACCGGACAAATCCATGTTTCGGCTCATCCATGTTTCCGTAATAAATCATAGAGTCCAAAATGAGCTAAACAAATGCTTAGAGCCCCAAACAGGGACCAAATGGAAGATCCGGGTATAGAAGGGAATGAATGGATAACAGAGGGATATCTAGGAGAAATGCTGTGACAGACAAGGTAATGTTCAAAACCCCGGCGCCTGTATCTCCAGTGGCCGTGGAAAACACAGCACGCCCCTTTTTTTGGTACTTGATTTTACGGGAAAGTCCTGCCACAAAGGAAACCGGGCACCTCTGAAAGTCTAAAATGAAGAAGGGAAACCAACAACACATTGTTTAGATATATTTCTTTTTGTGATTCAAAACGCACACACACACACACAATTGCATGTATTATTTTGCCAAGCTTACCGAGAGAACGCTTTCAGAAGCGCCTCGCCCGGTTGTTCTAAGCGCATAGAGACATGGGATTGGCAAGTGCGAGTTGGGCAGCTGCTCGGGCCTGAGTGGTTGTCGAAGGCCTTGGAGCCCGGGAGGAGGCCTTTTATTGGTGTCTTGTTTATCTTTTTTCCGGTGGGTGGTCTTCAGGTTGCTATAAATCGCCCCCAGTGATCCAGAATTGCTTCTGGAGGTATCCCGATTGTTTCCCGCAAAGGAACACCCTGGCCGCCCCCGAGTGACACCCCCGCCAGGTTCTTCAGACGCTCGCCTGGCATTGAAGAAGGCTTCGGCAAGCAGAAGGGCCAAGACTATACCCAGACTTCAGCGGGTGAGGGTCTCCACTTTTGGAAAACCATCTTGACTGTGTGCTAAATCAGTGGACCCTTGGTCCTGTTTATCATTTGGGTTCAGATCAAAGTCAAAGAATCTTCAGCCAGTTGTGGGAAGTACCACTGAGCTCAAGATGATGCTAATGTTCCTTGATTGGTATAACCATTGTTCTATCAGAGACGTTTGACTGGCTACTTTCCTCGGAAGCCCGTCGTCCATGCCCTTTCACCTGGCGAAAGCGGGCCAGAAGTCGACCCCCTTTTCAATAAGGGCTGGAGGATGCACAGACGCGAAGGGGCTACATGTTGCTTGGCCGGTGAAAGGGCAGCTAAGTGTGATTTCCTGTCAATTGGGGCTTAGAGGGTAGAGGAAGCAGAAGAATTTGATTGCACAGGCTGCTTCAGCCCAGTTCCTTTCCATTCAAGCACGAGCTCGGCGAACTCGGTATATGTGCTAGTCAAAGGGGTTCCGTAAACGGGACAACTTGTTTTTGCGATCTGACCGGCGTTTAGTTCTGTTTCAGTTCCCGGCATTTGCAGGCACTGCTTTAGGCCCTATTGAAATTCGGAAATCCACTCCCGTGAAGGTTAGCATAAATGCAAGCCAGGCTGTCTCACAAGGGCTGTCTTTGCACATAGTTTTGTCCGGGGAGGTTCCATGTTGAAATTGAGGGACATCACCACCGCCACCACCTAATGCGCCTTAGATCCTTAATGTATCATCGAATACCATTTTGATTTGGAGGATGCGTACATTGGGAGGATTGTGCGCCTAGATCACCTTGGCCAGTCCACCAAGTTGCTGGAATTCCCCGATGCACGGCAAATGTGTGGGTCCCCGCTTGGGTTGACTCGGCATGGCGAGTGTGTCAAAGTGAGGGGTGGACTCTCTGAGGACTTTTGCGGCTGAGCCGGGTGCAGAAGTCCCTGATGTCAATCCTTACTCGATTTACCTCGCCGCTTGGCAGTCAAACAACCTGAATCGAAGGTATTTGAGGGGAGAGTTTTCTTCACTGTGACCCACTTGTCATCCTTGGTGAGGACAACTTTAGCTAAGGCACTTGGGTTGCATTTGCTTGCAACAGCTTGGGCCCAAGTTGCAATAGGCATATGCGTGTGTTGGATCCCGGATGGCGGCAGAAATTCCTTCACGAAGTTTAGAAGCCGCCCCCGTGCTTGTCAGTGTACCGGATCCGAAACTCAACTGCTGCTCTCAAAGACCAGGCCTGCAAACAAACACATGTACCTGGCTTACGTGCCCCATGCCAACGCCAATCATCTGTAAGAACTGCACTTGGCGGAACTTAGAACACATGCCAATTTGAGGAAAGCCAATATCGTAAGTTCAAACAACACTGCCAAGGCAGGTTGATAGAGGGGATGCCAATGGGTCTTACAGCAAACAGCACAGTAGACAAAACTTGTGGAAGTGCCTTCTCTTGCATACCTCGCAGCCAAACAGTTGGACAAAACAGCAAGCACATCCCCATCCTCACTGTTCACCAGGAGACGAACCAGAGTGTACATGGTTTGATATCTTTTCAAGAATTAACCTCGATACGGGGCAAGGAAGCGTTGCTGGGCAAACGAGTTTTGACTCTTCCCATGGCCACTGGGCATGGAAAAGTGGCCTCTTTTCAGATATCCTCCCTTATCTTGCTCAGCGTGATGATGTGCATGAACCATGCCATGCCGCCAGCGAGTGCCTTTCTGTGCCAGCCAGAGCCAGCTCAGGGTGTATTTCTGGATGTTCATCCAGATGATGAAGGGCATCATCATCATCCTGGTGATCAACCACTACGTTTCGCTCCGTGGCCGAAGGGAAGCATGAAGCTAAAGTGCATCGCTTTTGGCGGAAGCAGTTTGCGGTTGGGCGCTTGGTTTTCTCCAGGCATCCAAAACGATTCAAAAATGCGTGCTTCGGGTTTCGAACTTGCCCAGACACACAGGTCCGGTATTCCGGCCTTTCCTTGCAAGCTTTCTTTGTGGAAGTGATGCGCACGATACGTCGCCTGAGATTGGATGTCATGCCAACCTGGCGCGACTCAGCCTGTATGTCCTTGACATTGGTGAAAGCTACTTTCAGTCTTGGTAGTTGTTTGTTGTTTCGAGCGGTGGCTAAACCCTTGTATCGTGCTTCCTTCTGGGGACTTGCCTGTAGTCCTCTGGGACTTGTTTGAAGGCCAGAGCTCAGGCAAATTCAGGTTCAGGCCCCGTTTAGATTCTAGCGCATTTGCAAAATTAGAGACGTGGGGGAGCCTTTGTTCTGGACCCAGGGTCGCATCAAATGCCATCCTGAAAATCTACAGAACCGACACTCCCGCGTTGTTTTTGCGCAAAGATCCGGTTGGCGTTCCACGTCGATTTGTGGGGGAGTAAGATTCGCCATGCCTTCGGGCACTTGTACTTTGCTTCGATTTGCTTACCACGGGCCTGGTCCAGACACCGTCTTTTGTAGCCGCGCATTTGGAGCCTATATAGCTGGGTTACACCGACAGATTATGCTTTGCAGGTGTCTGCAATGAGAGGTGACATAGCTACATCGTATCATGTCGTACATGTCATGGGGCCTGGCTGAACTCATGGCACAATTGGCCGCCTGGCAAACCCGCCGCGTAAATGGATCTGAGGATCGGCTGGCTGGTTCTAGGCACGGCGCTTTTGGGCCATGGGCTGGTCTGCGCGCGCCTGTGTGAGGGTCAAGAAAACAGTTGCCCAGGCGACGCTGCATTCCTGTTTCCAATGGGGTTTCCTTGAAGTCAACATAGTCAACCAAAAAAAAGAGACGGCACGCCGCACATTCTGATTTTGCACCATAGCTGCCGGGCGAATAGGGCAATGTGTTGCAGGTGCAAGGGGGGCCGCAAATGAACCGGGAAAGAAGCGAGGGCATTCAAAACGAGGGATCCCCGATGCCACCTTTTTATTCACTGTGAAATGCAGGGTTGCACCACACCATCAAGCTGTCCAATATGGTATCATGTTTCTGCTGTGGGCGGAACCAACGCAAAGTTGCGCCTCACCTAAACAATCGCAGCCAAATAAGCAACCGGCGTTCGAACCAATGGGGATCGAAGGAATTCGCAACGTCCGGGTGCCAAAGGCAGAACCAGAGGCAGTCGCCTTTGTTTGATCATCCAGATGCCTCTTGGAAAGAACACGCTGATTTTGGATTGTTTGGGACCTGGTTCCTTATCCACAATCGACCCCCAGTTGGAACGCCGAGGCATGCTTTTTAGGCCTGTGCTTGCTTCACATCGATGTGAATTCAATGGTGCTGAGATGGCAGCTGTTTTAAAAATTGGTGGGGCAACCCACACGGCAACCCACACTTTATTCATGTTGCGAACTGAAATTCCCTTAGCTAAGACAGAAAGAGCGACGTCAAGATTCACAGGGGCAGATGTCATCATCCAAGAACCCTGCATACCTTTCGACATCCCCCAGAATCATCCAAAATCCCGAAAGCAATCTCAGCAGGGTATGCTCCAAGGGCACAAGAGGTCGGGAAGTCTCACCCCCCTCGGGAGGCGCGACGCACGTCTCGAGCGCAGGTGTGTACTACACCGACCCCGGGCAGACCTGGGTGGCCCAGTCCGAGCTGCTCAGCGCCAGCTTCGCGGAGCAGCCTCTCGGCGAGGACGCGAGGACCCGAGGGTACGTGGCGACCGCTTCTTTCGGGTTCACAAAAAGGGGGCCGTAGCCGGCTTCAGCCTTCACCTACGGCACTTGAGCTTTATTGACTTTGAATTGGAATGATCGATGTTGGATTATTTAGAGCCAAACAGTCGATTTGCGTGAAGGTATATTGGGGGTTGATTGGCTGTTGTGAACTTTCCGACCACTTTGCTCGGCCAAGCGCAGGCGGCCTCGAAGATCATTGCCGCCACAACCTTTGCTTGTTTCTTGCTTGGCTCATGAGCGTGCACCCATGCAACAAGCATGGATTACGCCTTTTGCAACTTGCAGCCACCGCAGCTACCGCAAATCTGATCATATTCATGCACGTCCCGCCGGAGGACGCAGAAAGTGCCTTTTCGAGTCCGCACCTTTTCGAGTCCGCGGCACACACTTTTGCCGGACATTTCCAGGTGTGCATGCATACGCGCGCACGCACACATCGAACATGTGCGAATCTGTCCGGCAAATGCGTTTCTGCATGTATTGTTTGTATCTACGTTTGTGCGTATGTGTCATCCCGCCATTTCGCACAAAAGGATATGATGCAGTCCGGGTGTATCAATTTTGATTTGTTCGATGCCTGTGACGAGTACGGGGGCGTTGTTGGCCTCCTGCTTCTGGCTTCAGAGGGGCTGGCTGCCACAAAGTGCAGCAGTTTGATTTTGCCTGCATGCACGGATTATTGGAGCGTTCTGTGATTTGTTGGCGTTTCTTTCGCACCTACGGGGCTACGGTGCAGACAAGCGGGATGAGGGCGGACACATATCCAAAGGTCCTTTGTTTTGCTCGATCTGCTTACCTGCCATTTCGTGCTGTTGGTAGCAGTGCTGCGCGAAGCCCGCCTGGTACGGCGGACATCATGATGCGTTTGGCTCATGTAGTTCGTTGCGGGCGCCGACAGTAATTGATGTACACATGTGTGCCAGTTCCGCACTACAGCCTGTTCTCTGGATGGATGGCATATGAGGAAATCGAAGCAGCAAGTTCCCTCATGGCAAACATGCAGGCTAATCAATTTTACATTCTGGGAGCAGGGGCTTTGTTGAGTTCTTGATGTGCGTAAGCAAATGCTATCCAATGACCGGGATATGTGGGGCTTGCAGCTAGGATCCAGCAACGGTGAGGATGGAGTGAAGTAGGCCAAGCGAGTGGAAGGTATGGCAGGAACGCTTGGCGCCGCGAGAGCTCGCATTGTATTCTCGTTCGTGGGAACTGCATTTGTCCTTGTGCGATTGTCTTTGGACGGTATTCCCCTTGTGTGTGGCCTATGTGCAGGAAGTCTGAGCCTATGTCATAGGCAGGAAGTCCGTGTTAGGGCACTGCACTTCAAGCTGAGGTACGTGTCCTCCTTCCACTGGTCCCTGGCACAGTTCCTCCCCTCCACCACCAACATCGCGCCCGTCCACGGCCTGGAGCGGCTCTACGCGGTGCTCGCGGTGCTCCTGGCGCGCCTGGGCGTGAGACCCACTGAACCCTGAAGGAGGGGGAGCTTGGACCGTGGGACGGGCTGGGGACGGGGACAGTTTGATGGGAGTGGATGTCTTTACGGGCCACATAATTTAGACATAAATGCATTTATTTGCGTGTGTGTGTGTGTGTGTGTGCTCCACCAATCATTTACCTTGGTTTTTCAGTGGTACTGTGGATGGACGAAATCCTGCACCACCTAAGAAACCCTGGAATGATGATTCCCTTGTAAATGCCACCAGACAATGGTTTCCCATGGTTTCTAAGTAGTGCAGAATTTCGTCCATCCACAGTATGCAAACCATGTTCGACTGGTGCCCTGGTGGTTTGGGGCCAGTAGACACCCTCTTAAGGTCACTTGGCGACCCAGGGGTTGTATTCCGGCCCTTAAGTTCCTCGTTTGCGAACTGTTTGTGGGCTTGGCACTTTGTGGGAGGTCGTTCCTCTGAAGCACAACAAGGTTTGCTTCTTGTTCGGCCCGATACGCTCAGGAAATGAGTTGTTGGGTGGGTGTTCCGTGAAGGCAACCGACAGACAATTTTTGGGGCGGTGGTCCCATTTGTGCATGTCCCAGCCCAGTATTTTCCATGTTGCATGGTTTCTGTCATGTGCCCAAGCCCAGTGCCATGCCACCGAATCAAATTATATAACTAACAATTCGGGAAGCAGCTGTTTTCAGTTTCAGCTGCTTGAGTTATTACAGTTTCGGAGACTACAGTGAATGCGTTCTGATGCCACCCACTTTCCCAACAGACGTGGGGGGAAGGGGTGGGAAATTCAACAAGCCGATACCCAGAGTTCATTGCTCTCAAAGGAAGGCATTGGCTGGTCCATTTTGCGTTCGTTCCTTTCATCTACTTCTCGCTCCTACAGCATGTGAAAGAGAAATGAGCGAGACAGAGATGGCATCACTTCCAGCTTCTCCATGTAAAGGCTAATAAGTGATCTTTCATCCCAATGCTCCCTACATTCCACGTGATCAGGTGATGCGTCGAAACGCATGGGGTGGCTTAAGATGATGGGTGGCCTATTGACTGCATATGCTCAATCAGAATGAGTCAGACATCTATTTTTGATACTATGTTTACATACAAACGCTGGAAAGCCGCTCGGCATTCAAGCTACCGGGGGCGACGCATTATCATGGGTTCCCAAGCCAAGACACCACACATCAGAATCATCAGATCTGCAGTACGTCGTACCTTCGGGCTTCAGACCTAACCAGGCCAAGCAAGGCTGTCCAAGGCCATTCCTGCAAAAACCGAGGCAAAACAGAGGTGAACGGTGCTAGCAATCAGTCTGTCCAACAATTTGTTGCTTTAGCTTTAGTTCTTTCTGGCACAGGAGGCCGCTCAGGAGGCTGCTTTGAATCCGTCACACGTGTCGAATTTGCTGGCACAACGGGTCAAAACGAGTTCTCCTATTTTTTGGCGTGAACCATCATTGGACAGGCTGCCGCTGTAGCAAAGCAATCTTCATGCACTTGCACTGCAACCTTCGGGCCTCTTTGGATTATTTGTCTTTGGGATAGATGCTTGTCCATGTTTGTAATCGCTTACAAGTGAGGATATCCCAAGACAAGGGTTGAGCCATGCAAATGCCGTTTACCTTCATTCAAGAGAATTCTGAATAGTGAATGATAGACACTAGGTACGCAGATCCAACACAGACACAGCGAGGCCTTCAACACAAGGTACTTGTCTGCCCCAAGACTTCCCGTAGTCTTTGGCACTTCCCCCCCCCCCCCGGATCAGCGCAGCCATCAGCGCAGCCCTTCCGGAAGCCCAGGTTCGGCGTGTGCGGGGCTTAGTTGAACTGGGCGGGTGATTTTGCAAGCCTCGTGACTCTTCCAGCTGGACGGCAAGGCCGAAAATCAAAGGAGGAGAGTGAAGGCTGCAATGTATCTCACCGAGGTATCAGGGACAAGCTCAGCTTTGGTTTTTTCCCCGCAAAGCAGGGTGGGGCCAGCCCCCGTTTAAAAAAGTTTTGACCAATTCAAGCTTGAGCTCTGACGCTTGAAGCCATCTTGATCACGGCGCATGAGGCTCTCTTCCTTCATCACGGGGGTGACCAACACGGTGAACGCTCTGCGCGCGGTGCGCGTCAGCAGTTTGACGCAGGAGGCCAAGCTCCGGCAGTTCTTTGTGGAGCGCGGCTCGGCCAAGCAGCAGGGCACGCCACCAAGCCTTTAACCGCAAGCAAGCGGTTCGGTTTGCGGGCGAGGTGACTTTGGTTGAAAAGAAGGCACTAGTTATTCTAAAAAGTAAGGGCTCAGTCGAGTTTGTCCTCACTTGGGTCCTGACGTTTCCCCAATCAAGACAAACACCCACAGAAACAATGCAACTTTAACTTGAGGAATAACCCGTGAAGAATGCTTTTTGCAAAGCGCTTGGGAAAGCTCGTTTGGGTGCTGGTCTATTTTCCAGTTCTTGATTTCACTCGTGCCCTGTCGGGTGGTTCCTAAACTGGCATTCTCTGAAGAAGGGCCATTTGATTCCATGCATAGCTCATGCTGTCTTTGTTGGAATTGGACAGCAATGGAAGAAACGGCCGTTTTGGCTTCAGGCCCAGTCAAGGACAGGTCCGCTTCGGTATGTGACATGAGTTGATTTGTGCTTGTTGCGTGGTGGGGGGGGGGCCTCGGTTTCCAACCAACCGGTCGAACGTCGCGTGCATCAATACATGTTAAAGGTTTGTTCGGTCTGTATCCAGTTTCGAGGCTTCGTGCACTCATTTCCATGTTGTTTGACTAGCTTGGGTGGCATTCTTGTGCAGGTTAACTGTTATTAACTCAATTCAGCTTCGGGTTGTTTTGGAAGTTCCCACTTGTCCCAGCGAGCCATGCCATGCCACGTCTTTGCTGCTGACCCGGGCAGTGTCCACTTTGATAATCCTCAGCTGATCAATCATGAAGTGGGTTGACCGTGTCAAAACCCGTTCATTTCCCTTCCAAGGAAAGGCTGACCGTCTGCTCCGTTGTTTGAGTCCGGTCTAGCAAAGGTCGTTTGCCCGCACGCCTGCTGAAATTGTGCCTCTCGGCCTACCACGAGAAGGCCGAAAAGGCCAGCATGTCAGAGCAGGCGGGCTGGAGAAGGGAGAAAAGGGCCATGGGCCGGTCCAAAACAAACACGATGGAATACGATGAATAGACAATTGCTAGTTTAGTATTTGTTTAGTTTTTGCGTAGTCCGTTGTTCAGGGGACATGTGTCCACAGCTCAGCACTTTTGATCGACGGAGGCTCGGGTCTTATATATATATATATACACACACACCTTTTTGAGGCACATTGTGGCGGGTTCACACGTGAAGCCACATTTCAGGTGAGCCAACTCATAGAGAAAGAGTTAATACATTTCAGGAGTCAATACCTAGGCTCAGGCATTCAGCTAAAGGCAGCGTTTGTTCCGCTGACTTACCAAGGATCGGGAAAGATTTTCTTGCACAGCAAGGAAACCAGACACGAGGAGGCCCTGAAAGCCTACCATTTTACCCAATTCTATCCTCTTGCGCGAGTCAGCTGCAAGTGGCACTCTTACAGGTTCAGACGCTGATTTCTCATGGATTGGGATGACACAGTAAGTGTCACTTGCATGGCACCTAGCTTGTGCTTTCTTGTGTTTGCTGCTTGCATTTAAACTTCCAGATTTCTTGGCATGTTCCTCACTTTCTTGACCTTTGGACTGCTTTCCTTCAGGCATAACGTTCTTGTGGGAAGCAAAGCCAATGATTGTTCTTTGTGAGCAGTCCATTTTTACTTGAACAATACTTGACCAATCTGGAATTTGGGCCATTCCCATCATGAGATGCACTGAATTGGGCTGAGGATGATCCTAGCCCAAGCCTCATTCGAGTGGTTCTCAGTCACGCGTCGGGTTTTGTGGGTGAGAACAGGGGCCATACACAAATACAACTACAAACAGCCTGCTTCCACAATGACTTGGGTCTAAATTGGGCACGTGTATATTCCCCCCGCTGGGGATGGACGTGCAGGATGTCGCAATCTTGCAGTCCTCGCCAGAGAGGCTGCGGATTGGGCTGGGGTTTGGTGTGGGGCCGGAGAAAATCCGACGGGGAACCTGGCGGGTCGTTTGATGTGGATTTGCACAAAGGCCTGTTGATGGAATGAAGGTCAGCTGGGGTGAGTTGCGCATCCAGTCCAGAGACTTGCCAGAGGATTGTGAGGCTGATGTTCGAAAGCAGGATGCACAGATTCAAGCACCAGTTGGGTGGTTCATCCCATTCATGCGTTTCATCCATGCCAACCAGTGCAGGGATTGTCCAGTATCATGGTGTTCTTTCACTTTGGAATTGGCCAACAGGTAAAGCAGGCACATGTTAGAACATTTTCACGAACAAGAAAATGGCGGGCCTCAACTCTTGCAACTCCTCCACCAACATGCCTGCAAGTCGCTTCTGATGTAGTAGGCTTTCGGAGGGTTCTCCTTGTGGATTGTTGTCCACCAATGCCGCCAGGCAAGGGGGATTGAATTGTTTCAACAAGAGGCCACTTTTCAGCGTGTATGGCCAGTTTTTGTCCGACCCATGGGCCGGAAAGGATCCACATTTTTGACAGGTCTGCCCCAGAAGGATTCATAAGGCCTGAAGGTTTGAGGACATCGCGGCACATGCCTGGACTTGGAGTTGATATGGGGACGGTCCTCCAGCCGCTTGCAGATAGTTGTTGGCGGCTTTTGCCGGTCGCCCGCTGGATTTCACAACGAACTCATGGCACCCATGGGCCTGAAGCTATCGCCAGGCTCCGGGCTCAGCTACACCAGGCTCGATCCGGCGGGTGACATGTCTCAGCTACTCACCCCGGTAGCCAAGGCCCCAGTTGATTGATTCCCAGGTCCTTTGGGCAAGTGGGTCTTGATGTGTTGCGGCACCAAGCCATGATTGGCTTTGAGGATTCTTCTTTGAGATCTGCGCTCCGACCAGTTTCGGGATTCCGCGCGCATTTGCGGCGGGGTGATGCGTGAGCAGGGGGGTTTCAAGCTATACTTAGGGACTTGAAACGTTTATGAGTTATTTGTTGGGCGAAGGCTGGAACCGAGGGACATACCCCGCACAATTTCTGGGTTGTCCTGTTGAGCGCAGGGTCGCTTCCGGCCCTTTGTTGGTTGTGGTCAAGTGAAGAAACCTGGGTGCGTGTCCTTGTGAGTTTGCGCGCCCTGTTTGTGTGACTGTTTTGTGAATCAGCGGGGTCCTTCCTGTCAGGAGATGTTCAGGGGGGTGCTCACGAACCGCTGCTGGGTTCGCGTCGCCTTGCGCGATGAATCCACGGGTCTCCTCATGAAGATCTGCGCCGTGCTCAGCGCATTGGGACGTCGTTTGTGTATGAGGCCCAAAAAGAACGTGCCGGGCTGGTGGCTAGTGGGGCAGCCCTCACAATGGTGTATGGCGTGCGGGCAACCCTCATAATGGGGCAACCGCAAAAGGTACGGTAAAAAGAAGCACGCCAACTTGCTGTTTTCTCGCAAAGGTGCAACTGTGGGTGGCGGATCGTTGCGTGGTGTGTTTTTCTTTCTCTTGCTCGCCGTGCCTTGTACAGTCCATTGAGGTATCCAATCCTGAAACTTGCAAACCTGCAATGACTGTAGGAGATGTCCACACACGACTTCACCTTCAAACAATCAACAGGCATATATAAAAAGGCTTAAACTGTTTAAACCTTATTATCACGTTGGTATAGCCACAAAGGTCTTTCAAATGGGAGCCCCGTTATGGTTTGGTTCCAACAAATGTTTGAAGGGTGAGCCCCCGCTTGAAGTCTCCAACACTTTATAAGCAGCAGACGTGCAACATGCAGCAGTGACTGAGGCCACCTGGCCATGGTCGAGCGGGCCACAATGAAGTCCGAAGACGTTTTCCTGGAGGGTACCGCGCGGGGCCCCAGAGATCTGGGTGCCACACACATCGGGAGCCGGCATTCTCCTGTGAGTGGAAACAGCAAAAACATATGGGTGGGTGGTTTCACAAAACCAAAACAAGGCGACAAGGGGAAGGTGGACAAATGGGTCGCCAAAGCAAAAGAACAAAAAATCAATATTCAACCGACAGAAAATCAAAGGGTACCAAATACGGTAAAGTTTTTCCCAAGCATTCTGTACCCCCAAAATAGGGCCAGAGGGTTTTTGCAAGCAGCATCCATTCCACTGATGTCTTTACATCTTCTTTATGCACTACAAAGGGGTTCGGCAACAAATTTGCAAGCAGGGTGGCCGCCCCAAACGCTCAACAATAGAAAGGACCAGGGGGTACCCAATCGTGCAACCGTCCCCCGGCCCTGCCTTAAAGTAATTCCCATATCTCTCTTCTTGTCTGGCAATACAAAGCAATACTAAATCAGCACTATCTGAATAGCAAGCCAGTACGCCCGTACGAAGAAAGTACTACTAAGCCAATACCAGGCTAATACAAATCAATACTGAGCTAGTACTAAGGCAGCACAAAGCAATACTCAGCCAATACTAAACTAAGACAAACCAGAACGAACCCAATAAAAAGGACAATACTAAACCAATCCCTACCAATACTATGCCAGTACTACAGCTGCACCAAGCAATACTAAGCCAATACTAAGCCCATACCAACCAATACTAAGCCAACACTAAACTTGGGAAAGGCCAATCTAACCCCCAAATTTGTTCGACGGTTGTCGAGTCCCACAACCCGTTTCGGATGGTTCAAAATGATAACCATTCCCTGTTTTGAGAACACCCTCCTGATTGGCACCGCACAAAGTCTTGTGGCACCCAACAAAGTTTGAGCGGGCGTGGATTTGCTTCCGCTGCGCTTTCCCTTCCGCTTCACGTGACTAAGGCGGACCCGAGGGTTTCTGACCCTTTTGGAATGCTAGCCATCCCATGGCATGAGCGGAACAAACAAAGCAGCAGTGTTTTTGTTTGGCATGAGCACACGCATCAACATATGCACATGGATTTATATACGCACTGTTCATCTCCATACAGAACAATCAAGTATATACGTTTTTGTATATGCTATGTACGTGTATACATGTGTATGTAATGGTGTATGAGGTATGTACGTGTGCATGTTTTTTACGGTTACACAAGTGTAGACGTGTGTATGAAGGTGTGCATATGTTTTCTGTTGCATACAAACACATGTTCACATGAATACGTAGACACGTCTATCAATAAACCCCCTAGGTATAGCCCCCCTACTTGTTCTGCATGCAAACTTATGCGGGTATATATTGCCTTCATCTCATGGCGTAATGCTTGTAGTCCACCACATTGGCATTTAGCGGTTGTTTTCTGCTGAATGATGCAACGAGTGGCCCAGGCCAAAATGGGCTGGCTGAGCTGGAGGGATAATCCTCATATCCTACATCTATAGGTGAAAGCGTCCCTCGGGCGGCGGTGGCTTGGGTGTGGCTCGGGTTTGGGTTGGCTCCGTGGGCGTCCATGCCCAACCTTTGTTTGGGTTTTGGCGGGGCATCCTTCAAAGAGTGAGCCCGGACGGAAATTTATAGCCCGGCCTATGTCCCATCACCAGCGAACTGCGCAGTTAATGTTTTTCCTGTCCAAAAGTGCTTCAAACACGGCCTGGTTTCCCTAGCCCTATGAAGCAAGTATGGCACAGTGGTTGGTTGGTTGGTTGAGTTGCTTCAGTTTTCAGAAAAGCGCCCGATTGGTTCGCTCTAAGGACTGCTTCGGCGCTGTGATCCTCACCCATGGCTGCATGACCTACTCCACGGATCACATCAAAGTGGCCCGGACCTCCAGCACGTCCCTCCGCGGGAAGCCGCCCACGCGACTTGGACATCGAGGGCCATGGTTTCGCGCGGTTGCGCGAGCCTGTGGCATACCTCGCTTGACACGTTCAACAGGATTCGCGCAACTACCATTTCTATACTTGTGCATATATGGAAATCGATTATATTGTGTAACGACGTGCATAGTGTACAGGCAAAGGGCCTGTCAAGATATGTAATTATCAGTGCGCACAGGCATACACACACATGCAAACATTAATGAACAGATAAACAACTAGTTACATGAATACATACACACATACACACATACTCACATACATACATACATACATACATACATACATACATACATTCATACATTCTTACATTCATACATTCATACATTCATACATTCATACATTCATACATTCATACATTCATACATTCTTACATTCATACATTCATACATTCATACATTCATACAATCATACAATCATACAATCCTACATTCATACATTCATACATTCATACATTCATACATTCATACATTCATACATTCCTACATTCCTACATTCGTACATTCATACATTCATATGTACACATGCGCGCATGCGCGCACACACACACACACACGTGCATCCATACATTCATACACATGTACGTGCATACATACATGCATACATACATACATACAGATTGATTGATTGATTGATTGATTCATTCATTCATTTATTGATTGATTGATTGATTGATTGATTGCTACCTGCATGCATGCCTGCATGCCTGCATACATACGTTCCTGCATACATACATGCATGTTTGCATGCATACATGCATACATGCATACATGCATACATGCATGCATGCATACATACATGCATACATGCATACATGCATACATACATACATACATACATTCATATGCGCAGGTGAATTTGAGTGTGCGTACGCATAAGCACTTGCGTGTGCGTACACATATGCATGCCCCTTCATACAACACATATACCTATATATTTATATATATATATATATATGGTCCAGTGTCTATGGTCCCCGGGTCCCCCCAAGGGGGAAGGGTTCACAGGTTGTGGTAAAAACCATGTCCCTGGGCCCCCGCCCCTCCCGTGTGGAATCATGATGGGTGACTTCTATTGCAAGCATCGGCCAATCTGGATGTTCTTTCCTTCAGGGTTTACAAAGTGAGGTCACCCGAGCTTGGATCTGGAGGAACAAAGGTCCGGCAGTAGAGTTTTTTTCCCTAACAGCTGAAAGCTTTGGGGCCTCAGCCCAGATAGGCTCCAGGGTGGTCCGGGGCGGCCCTGAGGTAAGGTTCCACGAGGGTTCCACCAGGGTTCCACCAGGGTTCCACTAATGAACCCAGGGTTCCACGAGGGTTCCACCAGGTTCTGCGAGGGCTGCGGGGTGGTGCGAGCCCTAAGAAGAGCACCGCATGCTGTTGGGGATATCACCTGAGCTTATTAAATAGGAGTCTTCATAGGAAGACGCAGAGCTGAGAAGGCAGCGTTGCGAGGAGCGCGGGGTGAGAAGTACTTGAGAGCTTCAAGAAAATGAAATGAGCACATCGCCACAGCGAGAGGACCACGCGAAAGTCCGTAGAGGGTCGATCAGGCAACTTGAGAATTGCTTTAAAAAACACACGCGTTCTTGAAGGCTCGCGGGCCGAAACCACGAAAGGCCCACGAAAAACAGCTCGCCGAACAGAGGCTCCAAAGTGACAGCCCTGCCAGCAAACGATGGTTTATTTGCCGATAGGGCCAATGTTTGAGAAGGAGGCCCCCCCCCCCACTTTAGCCCCCCACCCATACCATGGGGGGGTGGGCGGGGGACCGTAATCACTGGTCACGGGACAGTATATATGTATTCAATTTTGAGTACATACAAATGAATCAAATTGCATAGCTACATGGACATACACGTATACATGCATGTGCATGTACACACATGTCTAGACACACACACACATTCAGACACCCACACATATACACTTACAGAGGCACATACGCATGCATACAAACAGACAGACAGACAAACATGCATACCTACTTACCTGTATGCACGCAAACCGCACACACACACACCTTTTTACATAAAGGCATGCATGTTTTTTTTCTGTTTACATGCTTATGCGTTTGGTCGCGTACCTTTGTTTGTTTAAAAAAATGCTTGCTCGGGTTCAGGTAACCCTTGGTTGGTGCTTTGGATTGGAGGTTTGGGGATTTGGCAGTCCCGCCAGACCACCAATTAGTGGGAATCTGATGCGTGTTTGTTGGTGTGGTTTGTTTGGTTGGGTTGATTGGTTTGCTTGGTTGGTCTGGCTAGGTTGGTTCGGCTTGGCTTGGCTTGGTTTGCTTGTTTGTTTGTTTTGCTGTGTGTTTGTTGCTTTGTTTGGGTGGCTTAGTCGGCCTGTTTTGTTTGTTTCTGTTGTTGTGTTTGTTTGGTTTGGTTTGCGAAGTGTGTTTGGCTGGTTTAGTTGGCTCGGTTTGTTTGATTGCTTTGGTTTGGTTTAGGTTAGGTCGGTGTGCGGGCGAGGCCCCAAAGCCCTCTTTTGGTTTCCTGGATTGCCCCAAACTTGGTGTCAAACGGGAAACTCGAGCATTTTTTTGCAACCAATGGCCCCAAGAGGACATTATCAGAATTGCAGGCAGCCCAATATGGGTGGGTATGTTTTAGGGGACCCCAGAACATTGTGTTTTTCCCTTCACAACAATAAACGAAGGGTACCCCGAAGAAAAAAATGGAGCCACACCCATATCGAGGCCCTTGATGTTCGAGGAGGTCTCGGAAGGCCAGTGGCTCTGCGAGATCGCGCTCTGGGTGCATTGGTGGCACCGTGGCCAGCTCAGTGCCCAAGGCGCAACCCGGTCGACCCGATCTGACCGGACCGCTCGGTGCCATCGGAGCACATGCGAAAATAAGAAGCCACCCCCCTGGGAATGAAGGCAAAGGAGCCGGAATAGGTGAACTGTTCTGCTAAGCAAGCGAGGGAAACAGGGGAAGGTTGCCATGCACCTGCCAGTTGGGAACGATAGAAGGAGTTATTTTGCTGTTATTTTGCCAACTTCCTATTGACAGAAGTCTTTGGGGCTCTGAACGGGAAGGGCGTGTTTCCTTTCAAAGTACCCCTTCCGGGGTTGGTTGAAAAATGAAACCCAAAGAACACTAACACAGGATGACTTTGGGTTGACAAGGGGTTCATCCACTTGGATTATGCATCAGTAGTTGGCAAGCCTCCATTTTAAGCAGCATGGAGGGAAAGGAGGACCTCAAGATTATTGTTGCAGGCAAACAAGGGGCATTATTTGAGGGAAATTGGGGGAGGAGCCAGTGAGCAAAACTAGAGTGCCTTTACAAGTGTGTTTGATTTGGAGGTCTGGACTTGAAGCTTTTTGAAAGGATCATTTCAGGGGTTCACAACTACCCTCCCACAAACAAAAAAAGAACCCACAGGGGTTCCTGGAATACAACCTTCCCCAAAAGGCCATTTCCTGTGCAGGTTCCTTCCGTTTGCTTTTGGGAGGGTAAGTCTGACCAATCCACAGCACCAGCGTGCCAGGGGTGGCTCTCTACGCCTTTGTGGACGGCTTGAAGCTTGCGCGTTTGGCCACGGAGACGGGAGGCTTTGTGTACACGCCCCTTGGCAAAGTGTCAATTGGGCCCTGTTCCCTGCCCGAGTTGGCACATTTGGGAGAATTCCTTTTAGCGTGAACTAGTCACAGGGACGGGAATGAACAACTTCAAAGTGTTTGTTGGTTGCTCGGTTTGTGTTTTTCTTTCTTTTTTTGGCAAAGGCCAAAAAGCTTAAGCTCATTGCACCAACCAACCCTAGTATCTTTTCGGGCAGGGTTGTGAAGGGAAACAACATGTCATTTGCAGGGTCTACAGCTCATAAGAGGTTCCGAGCGGGAGAGACGGTTCGGCAACAGTGGTGGGGAACGTTGGGAGTTTCATCCGGGTCCTGGGGCACACCTCAAACGTGGTTGGTGGACATGACTCCCCCCCTTAATTGATGTCCACCAAAGGGTCGCTTGTTACAGTTCATACTCCCTTCAGCCTAGCATTGATTAACCCTCTCGCAAACTCAAAAAAGCATGGAGCCACACAGGCGAAGCCCAGGCCAGAGCTCTGCGAGAACCGGTTACGCTATACGGGCAAAACTTTCCCCACTGTGTTGACATGTGTTGACAGTTTCTGCCTTTCATTAACAGAGTGGTATTGTGCTGTGCTGTGCCATGCGCATCCTTCGAGGAATCTTGTCAACGTCTATTTGCACAAGTTAAACTGAGGTATGTTCCCATGGATTGGATCTGTTTGGGAGTTCCACGTTTGTTCAGCTGACTCTTTATGCCAGGTTGTTTGGGAAAGTGATGGCAAGTGAGCAACCAACCAAGAGAAGTCAGTCCATACTCGAGTTTCAACACACCCTTTTCATATTTACATGTTTCACAGGTACCATTGCTCTGGTACCCGCTGTGCCCATACTGAAGAAACCGCTTGGGTCTGTGTTTGATGCCCTTTGTGGTGGTTCTGGCGTCACGTCAATGCACAAATAGAGACCCAATCATTCCGCACATGCTTATTGACAATTGATGCCTTGTACTTGCCAGGGCTTAGTGTGCCAGCGCTGGCGCCTGCACAGGTATTTGAGAACCTTTGGCATCCTCCTAACCTCCTTCATGGAGGAGATGATGTTCAACTTTCAGGCCTGAGGGATTTGTGATCATTTTGCCAAAGTGATCTCATTTGACGCTATTGCGAATCTACTGTCTACGTACTGTTGGTCATGTCATCAGTCGTGGCCTGCCAAGGTTGCACTCTCTCTCTCTCTCTCTACCTTGAAGTGCTTCGGGCAAGTCTTCGGGTGTTTGTGTACGGCTCAGCCCTGAAATGTTATGGCTATTTTGGAAAGCATTGGGACAACAGTGGCTGCAAGCGGGCTGGGGAAACAGCCCAGCCTTGAGCAAAGCAGTTGCACGAAATACTGCAAGTAAACCAGCCAAAGGGAAGTTACCGATTTCCATGTTTCTTACTTGCAACATGTTTGGGCATTAATACGGCCAAAGTGCTTTCTTGGGTATCACTAAATTGCCATTACATTTGGGGTTAGTCACTAGCAGTAAAGGTCTCTTGGGAACACGATGACTATTGCCTGTGGCTTGTTTGGTTGCACATCGGGAGGGGGCGAGGGCGAAGCGGGGGGCAAACGGACCCACAATTTGGAGCACACCAACAAAACAAATGCTGGACTGGCCATCAAGATTCTGGGCTACCACTGAGCAGAATTGGCCGAGTCATTGTAAATGACGTCGGCTTGCTGGAGTTGTGAAAATCGGAAACCCGCGCCTGTGAAACTGCCCAGCGCTGCACGATTGACAAAACCACCAACTAGCACCATTCATGAGCACAATAAAATGGTCAGCCAGCTCCAAAGACCAGCTGCGCTGGGTGCAAGCAATTGCGAGTGCAAAAGGCAAAAAGAAAAGCAAGACTTCTGAATTGATCATCATATGACTTCACAGTCCCCAAGTTCAACAGAACTGGGACCTCTACCACGCGGAAGGCGCCCCCGCGCCCCCCCCCCCCGCCGCAATATGTTGAGCATTGCTGCAGGGGACCGTTGCAGCAATGTTTTCTTCAAATCTGATCCGAAAGCCCCTTTCCGTTTGCCGGCAAGCCAGTCTGTCAATTGGATGCAAAATCATCCTTGTGCTTTTTGCTTTTTCCCTGACGAAACCAACAGGGGACCATTTGTCCTGACCCTGCTTGCATGACACCTAAGCAGGAAATCTGCCTTATTGGCTTGCTCCGCACCTTGTAGCTAGCAGCTCCAACAACCTATTGCCAGGGCACTGACCTCTCCATCGAGGAGGACGGCTGGCGGGCGTTGCGCCTTCGTGAAGCCAGATGGCCACTGAGTCCACAGTAATTCAAACCCACCAAAAGCGGGCTTTGTCCACCCCCAGTGGTTCAGGGCACAACGACACAAGCTGCAACAGACAACTGCCCTCTTCCAAATAGGACATGACATCGCGTTCTGCAGGCACCTAGAGGAATCTTCGTCGGGGGTAAGACCCACCTGCTTCAGGCTAAAAACTGGCAGCCACCAGCAAGTAGCCCTTCTTTGAAATGGCCCTGGGAGCCTTTAGCCTCAGGATTGCCGGAAAAGGCCTTCAAAAGCTACATTCCTTCAAGCCTGACCTCAAAAGGAATGCGGAGTTTATATAGATGTGTCATTTTTTTCCAGCCCCAACACCCGAAAATGGATGAGGGGGCCCCTCCAAAGTCGTCAGGAGGCCATGATTGCCCTGTCGGACCGCGCACTGCACTTCCAGCAGCTGTCCCGCGTCACCGCGGCCATGACCACAGGTTTCGAGGGCAACGAGGCGCGCGGACTTCGCGTGCCCCAAAGAAGAATTGGGCCAATCGCCCAATTTGTTTGCAGACGAGTTTGAGGGTGTTGAACATAAACGGCCCGCTGAACTGGTCGGTTTGCGTTTTTGGTCTCCGTTTAAATGCCAAGCGAGAGGACAAGTTTGAGAACCCAGGCTTGCTTAGCAGGTCCACTTTTAAGTATTGAACCCACTTCTGGCAATGGACTGCAGGATTGCCCTGACGCTTGGCGATCATAGCTCAAGCGATGATAACACATGTTGAACTCCTGGCTGGAGGCTTGAACCTTCAACGAGCTTATGTGGCCATGAACAACTAGATGATCGTCAGTCAATGTTCGCCCGACGACGTAAATTCGGTAAACTCCGCACCCTCAACTAGTTGAGCCCTTGTAGCCTACCGCCTTTAGGGGGTCCCTACTAATTTCAACAGACGAACCACCGAGAATAATTTGTCATATCCAAGCGAACCCAACGCTCTCAAAGCTATGGCTTCCACTAAAACGAGAAGCAGGCCTTAAGCTAGTTTTCAATAGACATCCAAGGAATCTGGCAGCATTTTGACAGTCATGTGGCCATGAGCCAAAATGGATTGTGGGCATAAATCAAAGTCCGCATGTACATGATGCCCAGCAAAGGCTCTCCAGAAATGAAAGTTGCGCAACATACACCATAGTCATTCTTGTTAAGGCCTTTGTTGGAGGTGTACCTAGCAGAACACAGAACACCAGTTTCGAGGGCAACGAGGCGCGCGGACTTCGCGTGCCCCAAAGAAGAATTGGGCCAATCGCCCAATTTGTTTGCAGACGAGTTTGAGGGTGTTGAACATAAACGGCCCCCTGAACTGGTCGGTTTGCGTTTTTGGTCTCCGTTTAAATGCCAAGCGAGAGGACAAGTTTGAGAACCCAGGCTTGCTTAGCAGGTCCACTTTTAAGTATTGAACCCACTTCTGGCAATGGACTGCAGGATTGCCCTGACGCTTGGCGATCATAGCTCAAGCGATGATAACACATGTTGAACTCCTGGCTGGAGGCTTGAACCTTCAACGAGCTTATGTGGCCATGAACAACTAGATGATCGTCAGTCAATGTTCGCCCGACGACGTAAATTCGGTAAACTCCGCACCCTCAACTAGTTGAGCCCTTGTAGCCTACCGCCTTTAGGGGGTCCCTACTAATTTCAACAGACGAACCACCGAGAAGAATTTGTCATATCCAAGCGAACCCAACGCTCTCAAAGCTATGGCTTCCACTAAAACGAGAAGCAGGCCTTAAGCTAGTTTTCAATAGACATCCAAGGAATCTGGCAGCATTTTGACAGTCATGTGGCCATGAGCCAAAATGGATTGTGGGCATAAATCAAAGTCCGCATGTACATGATGCCCAGCAAAGGCTCTCCAGAAATGAAAGTTGCGCAACATACACCATAGTCATTCTTGTTAAGGCCTTTGTTGGAGGTGTACCTAGCAGAACACAGAACACCATAGCAGTATTGACGTGCATCGTGAGCTTGCTCGGGAGCTGTGGCACCACCTTGGCGCCTTACTTTGGGGTCCCTGGGTTTGGAATTGGAATTTGTGCCGATCACTTCGTGCCCGTTGGATGGGGGCTTTGGTACGAAGTTTCTGGGCTTTCTGAGCAAACGGCTGTCTTAGGCTCCGGTGAAAACACGGACAGGGCCCACTTCGTAATAAGCGCAGACACTCAATCCTTGCCGGATGGTAGGTTGGGATTGGGAATCCCTCCATTTTGAGCCCACCTGCCTCTGTTTATGCGCACGAATCTTCGGGTCCGCGTGCCAGGTGCTGGATCCCCCACGCGGGTCGTTCGGAAGCCTGTGAATATGGCAGAGGGCCGGCACCGAACTGTCCGCAGGGCTGTCCCCAAGAATTCAGGGCATAGGTTCTGACCGGTTTGCGTTTGGGTTCCCCGGAAACGGGGTGCTTCCTTCTCCGTGTAGGGTAAAAATATAGTATGGCCAAAGCGAAGCTTACTTCAAGTTGGGTTTCCCGATGGCTAATGTTTGAACATCGGGGGAAATCCAGGAACTCTGTCAAGGGCCAGGCACTGGAACAAAGAACGCAAGAGACTGGAAAGGTTTCGGAGCTACTGGCGCGAAGCCATAGTGGGCTGATAGATCCAATGGTCAAATGATGGTCGATCCCTTCTCGTCGCATTCCGTTTTACACGAAGGACGTTTACTCTACCCTGCTTGCGCTTGGTCGTTGCCTAGCTTCCAAAAGACAACGCGGTATCAACCAGTAGCAGTTTCGGTCAAACCAAGCAATCTGAGCCTCTGAGATTCGAAACGGGATGACCGCGGGCTCGCTTCCTCAGAACTCAGCTATGTGCGTTCTGTGCTTCAGGCATATGGCGGTCAGGTTTGCTCCGGCCCCTTTGCCAAGTTGCAAACACATCGACCCCAAATGGGGGCCTGAAATTCGGCTCCCTTTGGCAGGGAGCCGGAAGAAGACGTCAAGGCGATGAATTCCGGAAAAGACACTCTGCAACCTGAGTTGTTGACAAGCAAGCCTTGAAGCTTTCAAGTGTGTTGTAGTTGCGGCTGGAACCTAGATGAAAGGTCCTGTGGACTCCCTTTGTTTGGAATTTTTAGGGGGAACAACTGCTGTGTCATGACACCCATCCAGCTTCTTGAGCTTACTTGCATTAACATTGAATAAGTTGACACAAGGAACAAACTTCTCCTGACAACGGGGGCTTCCTCGCTATGATATTTGTTTGCCTTGCCGTGTCAATGTGTGTATTGGGATTTCATGTTTACTTTTAGTAGAACCTGCATTGAGGCAAGTACCGTTTCAGCGGGATATAATCCAAATGTTGTTTGCCACATCATCCGCTCAAGAAGGGATAGATCGACAAACATACTGCGCTGATCCAATTGTTTATCCTTTCTTTCTAGATTGGGGTTTTTGGACGGGTGCCTTGGGGGTTCAAACCCGCACACATACACGTGGAGATGACTCGAGCATGGGAAGGCACCCTCGTAACAACCCCTCCAAGCCCACCGCTCTATTTGGGCAGCTTTGCTCCGAAAGGACCTACCAAATGCCATCCACGAACCGCGGTTTATCGCTTTGCAGCATGCGGAAACGGCTTTGTTAAATCGAAGCGGTGGTACTGTCTTTGCAAATGCTCCGCGCTGAGTGCAACAGATCGCGGTTTTGGCTTCCCACTTTGGCAGAAAGCTTTGTTCAAGGATCAATGCTGCTGGCGAAGAGGAGTGCCATGTTTCCGGTGCGAGAAATCTACGTGTGCCACCGCTAAGTAAACGTCTCAAAGCCCCTTGTAAGCAGGTCCCTTCAGACCTTCCGTTTTGTTTTCTTCTTACCCAAATGGCACCTTCCACCATATGTCTGTTTTGGAGCTATCCTCTTTGGCTTGAACATCACAGTTTGGCCGCTCCAGAGAAGTCCAGCCACAGTTTGGGACAAAACTGCTCTGCACACAAGCGCTGCCCCTTTGCCTGGCAAACGCCGGTGCAAAATCAGTGGGCTGAGGAAAACTTGACGAGCAAAGCGAGAGCGAGGCACTGAAGTATTATTTTTGGCCGGTTTTAGGCTTTGTTGAGCAGACGCTGCAAACGCACATTGTTTTCTCACATGGCGAGGATCCGACCCCAGCCCCAACCAATAGCAGGAATCCCAGGCCTCCAGATTCTGTTGATCTTCGAGCTCTGGCCCCGCAATGTCAGCTGTTGGAACCCAACCCCTTCCCTGAAGGTTAATGGCACGTGTATTTTGGGAAACCAACGACAGAAGCCCAGAGCCCTAAGCACCCTTGCTGCTGGCGGTTTCAGTGGTGTTGGTTTTTGCTTTCATTCACAGCTTCCCTTTTGCCTTCTGGTTCCCTTCGACCAAGTTTATGGCCGTATGCAAGAAGGTTAAGCTTTTCTTTTTTATCTCTTTGGATAAGCACACGCGCACATCTTCATACATCTCCATGATGGCGGCTACATGCCCAAATATATTTTCCCACAACTGTAAGTATGAGACGCTTGAGAAATAGGTCGTTCCATGCCCTCGCTGAGCTCATGGTAATACCCACCCTCGCCTCGTTCAGCGACCAAATTGGTCGCTTGCTCGGGCATGTATGTTGAGAGATGCGGCTTCCAGGTTTCGCAAGTCAATACTGCAGAAACAGTTGTGTCAGTCAGCACTCGGCCCCGCAGAATCAGATGGTCCGTGTCATGTTGCATTTACCCAAAAGGAATTGCGAGAGAGAGACACAGAGCCACTTGGCTGTTGGGAGGTATATGGAGTTTGCTTTGCTGGGTTCTGTGCGGAAGACGCGGAACTCAGCAAAGACGTTTGCCTGTAGTCTCCGGCCTCATTTTCCCTTTGTGAGCTGGGGAGAGATGTGCACGTCCTGGTTTGACGCACTGACTTGGCAGGATTGACTCTTCGACTTCCTTGCTCCTTGTCCACTTTCAGTTGGGCTCTTGCCAAACCGGTTGGTTTCGCAAGGGGCCCCTTCCGCAAACCGAAAGAGGTTTTTCTTGCGTGAAAACTAAACTACATAATGGGTTGTTATTTGGAATGGAAGCATGCTTTGCGCCTCAGTAGTGTCTTAGCTTTTGCTGCCCTTTATCGCTCTTTGTTGCAGACCAAGAGGATCCAGATTTGACAGCTGCAAAGGAAGGATATGCAGTGCGCCTTCCTATTAATCCCTGTCACGGCGTGCATGGTCAAACTTTTGCAAGGGGTCATAGCCCGCTCAAATGAATATTTCGAACCCCTTTGCCAGACTCGAAAAACAAGCTTTCTAACGAAAGTTCTGAGTTAGGTGCCAAATTATAGCCCATAGTGAGCAAGATGTGCTTTAGGTTTTCCTGGCTGCCATTCAGCCCCAGGGAGCTTGGTCTTTTGTGGGACCGATGGGAGATACTTTAGGATGTGTACGAGTCAGAGGCCGTACAGTGCGAGGCGTGAGGTGAGGTTATTCTATGGCACCCTTGTTTCCTTTGTGGGTGAGGTCCCTGGAATTTCAAGTCAAGCTGGGCAAGTGAAAGAGTACAGCGCGCGCTGATTTGACGCCCCTTCAAGTGGAGGGCCGACGAACACTTGAGTCCGTTGCACAGTGCCGGGGTTCAGTGAATCATTTTGTTGGGGTCGTTCCCTTCGATCTGTTGGAAGGTGTTTTTTTCTGCCATTGAATCTCGGAGTGCTATTCAGAAGCTGTTCAAAGGCCATCACACGGTGGGCACTTTTCCCTGGAGTGTCAGCTTCGTTTGCCCATTTGCCACCTGACAAATATTGCGTGTATCGGTTTGCAGTTGTCACTTTGGGTCTTGATGATTTTCCCTTGACCGCTTCATTAAATTGTCGCAGAGCTCCCTTTGTCCAGTCTGGAACATTGGCATTCAGCACCATTCACGGGGCTGAGCCTTGAGTGGCATCAGCTTTGGTTGTCCCAAGGCACACCAAAAAGGCAACCTGTAGCAACTCCACTTGCCATGTTGGACATGGCCCCCTGATCCCCTGAGCCCTGATTGGCACGCTTCTGGACTGCGGGTCCACCGATCCGCGGCTTTCGGATGACTCAGTCATCGGAAGGCTACAAAGGCAATGTCGTCAAGACAAGAGACATCCTGGTGGGCGCACAAAGCTGGAGTAGAGCAGTTCCTTTATGCGTTGGATAGCGCAATCCTTTCCCTAGTTTGTTCAAGACCCCAAGGTCCCCAATACGCACTTAGAATGGCTAAATTTAACACCAATACTATTTCAGCTGTTTTCCCCCAACTCCAGTCGTATGGGGACCCTCAGAGCCAATGCAAAAGCAGAACTTAATCATGCACGATACTCGGAACATCTGTTGCCTTTTTGCTACAGAGATTGTTTGCTCTAAACCTGGAGCTTGTTCACTTGTTTGAGGCCGGAAAGGGGGGACCTCTTGGAAGACGTGTTTTTACTTAAAGTCATCTTCTCCACACTGGTTCCCCCAGACATCCAACAAACAAGCGCTCCACAATGTATCTCTATCAATGAAGAAGCCACGACTCAAGACCATGCCCAAGTTGTCCCAAGCCTTTGCTCGGCACTATGGCGGGCCAGTGAAACCCGAAACCATGGCCCGCTAGACAATAAAGCATGTTGTGCCTTTGTTGATTTGTGTAGATTGGCTAAGACACCTCGGCACATCTGGCAGATTGACCCGATAGTTCCCAGGACACCAGGCGTACCACTGGGATGGCAGCAGGCAAAGTGCCCACTGTTTCACATCAAAGGCCCCCTGTGGCAGCTGCGTGGTAAAATTCAGTGCAACCCCGCGCCCTCTGTGGGTATGATAGTTGCTTTTGTTTATTTCCTTTCGGATTCATACGGATTCCATCAACCGTGAAATGACTCTTCTCGTTTTCTGATGGTGCCTCAGTGCCATCTTCGAGATCCTTCTCAAATTCGGGCTTTCCTTCAAGTACTGATACTCAACCGGTACGGACCTGGCCGGTCTTGCAGAATGCGATATCAACTTGGGAGCATGGGGAACTGCAATTGCGAATCGGATATTCCCCAGGGATCTCAGGGATTTCCTTTAATGTGGTGTTGTCTCGAAGGTTCAGTTTGTTTAAGTCTCCAAAAAGGTAATCCTCAAATTCGGCAGTCGCGACCTACCGGTTTGGCAGCCTTACACATGAGCCCCTCAAATGCAGCTGACGCAACGGGGCTGCGATTGCCAAGGTCGGCTGACTTGATCCGGCGGAAAAAAAGGGGGGCCACTGCAAGACGATGGCACTTTCACCTCGGGTTTTAAGGTGAGGATTCCACTGCCCGAAGTGGTTCCGGGTTTGGGCTGAGGCACAGCAACAGGAACACTGCATATTTTTGGCTTTCTAGATGTGCTTCGATACATTCCAGGAGCAGGGTTGGCTTTCTCGCCTGCAGCGGTTTTGCC